TTGAATGAACTAACCTAATACCCTATTAGTGAAATATTGGAAACATTCACAGGAAGAAAATCAGAAAGAAGGTACTATCACCAGTATTAATATTTTTTTCTAACCTATTAGAAAAACAGTATTCCATAGGAAACAACTAGGAAACAATTGCTTTTTTCTTCCCTATAACTTCTATCAAGCTTCTCTGTGGCCAGTTGACTTCCTCCCCAAGGATAAGTTTTTCAGTCAATGTTGGGTAACAAACAGTCCTCTGGTTTCTTTCAGTCACAAAATCAGTCTTGTTTTAGTAATTATAGTGTCCATTTCACTGTACTAATGAATACACCATAAATCTTTTTGGTATTGGCCCTTGAGCTAGAAGTTTGCAGTGAGAAAGCCTTGATGACTGTTTCTGTCTTTCCTCCTCTTGAACTTCTTCTCTATTTCACTAGATATTCTCAATTTCTCGAGGTTGGAGGCAGGGAAAAGAGAGGACTAGACAAGAGAAATCTTAATTGTATTGACGCTGGTCCTTTCTTGCCTTGGGGCATGTTCACATCGATTCTTTCTGAGGAGAGGGCAAAGGCTCTACTCTAGCTGGCTGCTTACAGACCCTACCTACACCCAGCCTTTGGGCATTAGTCCTCTGTGGGGCCCTTTTCTAGAGGGAAGTACCCCGACTGGAAATGCTCCTGGTAGGCTTGGAATAAACCCAGACCCTGGCCAGCTCCCTGTGGGGTCATATCTACTCCCAGGAGGGAATTAGGCCCCAGACTCTGTGTCTTCTAAACTCTGGGAACACCAGGAAAGTTTTCCTTAGAATTCTCATCACACTGCACGTGGAACCCCGTTGACACTGGGGTCCCCTCTTTTCCTTATGAAGTAGGAAAGCACACCAGTACTTTACAAATATAGATCTTTCTCTCAAGGACAGTCTTCTCATACACTCCAGTATCTAAAATACCTTTAGAGTAGATCTTGAGTTGAACCAAGGGCACAAAATCAGTTTCCAGCCGCTCCTTTTGCATCACATGATTCATTAAACAGCGAAAGTTCTCACTGTGGAATGCAGGGTTTCATGGTCCCTATTGTTTTGCTCTCTTTCCCCAGGTTTGTTCTAAACTGAGAATGAGAGAGGCGTATATTAATAGCCTGTTATAGACTGAAAACTAATGCAAATAATGAGACTTCAAAAAGGTCCACAGTCAACATACCATAATCAATAGTATATATAATATATATAGCAGATATAAGCACGGGTGGATCCTGCTTCTCTGTGAGCTTTTACGCTTGGGGAGCCAGAATGCTCCCATGGGCCACTGAGCCAGGCCCCAAGTTCCACACGTTGGGCAAAGTATAATAATAATTACAAAAATAAACGAATAAATACAGGCATACCTTGGAGATATTCTGTGTTCAGTTCCAGACCACTGCAATAAAACAAATATTGCAATAAAGTGACTCAAGTGATTTTTTTTAGTTTCCCAGTGCATATACAAGTCATGTTTATACTCTACTGTAGTCTATTCAGTGTATGATAGCATTGTACCTACTAAAAAAGGTACATTCTTAATTTAAAAATAACTTTATTGTTAAAAAATGCTATCATCTGAGCTTTCAGTAAGTCTGTAAAAAATGCAATACTGCGAAGTACAAAAAAGTGAGGTACAGTAAGACACAGTATGCCTGTAATTTATATTATAACATAATTATGTATAACAGGAATATGTAATAATTACAAATTAATTATATAAAATAATTACAGCCATAAATAACATTATAATACCTGGGAATGATCTCAAAAAGAAAAGATAATGACACATATGAAGAAAACTTAGATGTTCCTAAGGACACAAACATTGGCTTGAATAAACAGAAAGGTTTTCTGTGTTCTGTAAAGCAAGTCCCAACATCACAAAGATACCAGAATTCCTTAAGTCAATGCATTCATTTTATTCAGTCCCAAGAAAAATACCAATACAACTTTTGTAACCAATCTGTGTTAAAAAAAAATGTAAGTCAGAATATCAAGAAACGTTTTAAAAAGATGAGTTATGAGGGATTATTTAGTTCTTTATTTTTAATCTACATGGTCTAGCTTCAGAGGCAAACTCTTAAAGACTTTATTCTAAAGCAGTTTTAGGTCTACAATAAAAGCAAAGTACAGACATTTCCCATATACACCCTGCCCCCATACATGCATAGTTTTCCCCATTATCAACATCCCCAGCCACAGTGGTACATTTGGTACAACTGAGGAACCTACATTGACACCTCAACTTTATAGTTTATATTATTGTTCACTCTTGTGTTGTGCATTGTATGAGTGTGGACAAATGTATAATGACATGTATTCATCACAGGATAATACAGAGTAGTTTCACTGCCCCATAAAATCCTTTGTGTTCCATCTAGTCATGGCTCCCCCAACCCCTGGCCACCACTGATGTTTTTACTGTCTCCATAGTTTTGCCTTCATCAGGATATCATATACTTTGATTAACACAGTATGTAGCCTTTTCATACTGGTTCCTATTATTTAGTAATATGCATCTAAGATTCTACCATGACTTTTCATGGCTCCATAGTTCGTTTATTTTTATCACTGAATAATATTCCGGTGTCTGGATATAGCATAGTTCTTTTTACAGTTAATGTAGTGAAGGACATCTTGGTTGCTTCCAGGTTTTGGCAATTATAAATAAAGCTGTATAAACATCTGCATACAAGTCTTTGTGTGAATGTGATTTTTCAGCTCCTTTGAGTAAATACCAAGGAGCACGATTACTGGATCATATGGTAAGAGTATGTTTAGTTTTGTTAGAAACTACCTGTCTTCCAAAGTGGCTGTACCATTTTGCATTACCACCAGCAATGAATGAGAGTTCCTGTAGTTCCTTGCCAGCATTTGGTGTTCAGATTTTGGTCATTCTAGTAGGTATGTGGTAGAGGGGACATTTATTAAGACACTGAAATGTACTTTAAATTACAGTAATTACAGAGTGTGATACTGGCCAAATAATAAACAGATAGATCACTGAATCAAACTAGAACCACAAATAAATCCAAATATGTATCACTAATGATAAAAGGTAGCATTTAAATAATAGGGAAAATATTCTCCATAGTTATCTAGTCTAAGGCTCACTGTTTTTTTTTCTCTCAACATATATAAAGTCAGGTTATAGCTTATATAGTGGCTGTGATATAATGAGTCATAAGAAATACATATTTGTTCATTCATGTAACCAAATATTTCCTGGATATTTTTGATCTTCAGTCACAGTTTCTGAAAACATTGCAGAGTCTTAAAGGTGAAATGGGTGTCTTGTCATATTAATGAGAGACTTTTGGACCCCACCCGAGGGCAAGGGCTAGAGGTTGAATCAGCCAGTGGCCAATAATTTAGTCAATCATGGCTATGCAGTGAAGCCCTCTCATGAACCCCAGAAGAGCTCACTGCTCTCTGCCCAGGTGGATCCTGCTTCTCTGTGAGCTTCTACGCTTGGGGACCAGAATGCTCCCGTGTGCCACCGAGCCGGGCCCCAAGCTCCACAAGGATAGAAGCTCCTCTACTTGGGACCTTGCCCTACTGTAGCTCTTCAGCTGGCTGTTTACTTGTATCCTTTACAGTACCTTTGTTAAACTGGTAAAACTGTTTTCCTGAGTTCTGTGAGCCACTCCAGCAAATTAATTGAACCTAAATAGGGAGGTCGTGGGAACCTCCAGTCTGTAGCCGGTAGTGCAGAAGTACAGGGAACTGCCTGGGGCTTGCAACTGGCGTCTGGAGTGGCAGGTGGAAGGCAGTCTTGTAGGATGGCGCCCTGAACCTGGGGAATCTGGTGCTGTCTCCAGGCAGATGGCATCAGAACTGAGTTGAGTTCTCAAGACACCCATACTGGTGTTCGAGAATTGCTTGGTGTTATCTGTGGGAAGAACCCCCTTCCCACACACGTACACAAATTGGAATCTGGTCTGGGAACCTGAGTGAAGTTATATTACTATTACTGCTGTGTATAATATTGTTATGGGTATATATATATATATATGTAGGAAAACACAACATAGAAATGGCATATAAAATAATGGTGCATGTTATGTCCCATGAAATATTATTCATGTATTCATGTATGCCTGGTACAGCTAGGTAGCCAGCCTTAGAGGGAAAAGTTAAATGGATTCCTAACTCATAAATTATATTAAAATAAAATCATAATCGATAATATTATATCAGAGTCTTTTACCAAATAATCTTATACCAAAATAAAATAATTGATTAAAGACTTAAGCGTAGCAAATTAAAGCATTGAAAAAGAGAAATTTATATAAATATGCATAGGTAAAAAAGATCTTACCAAAAGTTATAAAAATTGACAGGCTGATTGTTTTGCATGGCATAAATATATAAGCAGAGTTTTTTTTTTCCTTTATGTTACAAAACAGCTAGAGGGTAAGAATGAGGTGCACCTCTCTGTGTGGCTGGGGTTGGGTAGGGGTGAGGTTGGGGGTAGAAGATGATTGACTGTTTTGGACTTGGGAAGTGAAAAAGACTTGATTAAGGAAGTCTTTAGACCTTCTTGATCAGGATGTACTGTGTTCCTAGCCAAAGGACAGCATCTGGGTGAATGTGGCTTGGGCGTGAGGTTGCAGAGGAGGGATCCACTCAGGGCAGGTCATATCAGCGCTGTCTTGAGTTCCGAGCAACATCACTAAAGTGGGGCAAAGTCTGGCCTGAATCACTTGCTGAGGCAGGACCCTGGATTGCTTGGGTGAAGGAGAGTCAATCTGAGTCTGTTTTTCTTTGGATGTAGTAGCCAGGATACAACTCGCTGCAGCTAAAACCTGCAGTTTCTGGGGTTGAAGGAGTAGGATTTATTCCCTTCTCCCACTAGCCAGAGTTACCAGGCCCAGGGAGGTGAAGGTAGTGCACCTGGTCAGTCAGAGTTGTAAAGCCAGTGTGACTTCCAGAGCATTCCCATGCTTCCTCCTTCCTGTCTTCTCAGAACACTATCCTTTTTCAGGAAAACAGCCCCAAAGAGGACTGATCCTCTCCTGCAATACTGACAGCCATGGCCCAGGTGAGTTGATGCTTTTTCTGACCTTCCTGTCATTCAATTCTTAAAAAACAAATAAACAAAAATTTAAAAGGACGTAAGCATTTGCTCTCCTTCTCCTGATATTCCTGGTTTATCAGGGTTCCCCTTAAGGATCCTGGTCCCCATTTCCTCATTCTAATCAGATAATCCCATCCCATTCCCAAGTACCCCTCTTTTGGCCCAGCATTAATATTTTCCTTCAGTAAAGAACTGAGCCGCTCTTTGCTCAGCCCTCTCCCAGAGACTATAATGGAGAGGATATGTGCTCTCGGGCAGATCTGTAGAATGAACTTGTGTTGTCTAGATAGTGATTTGGTGAAGTGGAGGTATGAGTTGCTTAGCTGGGAACACACATGGAAAAGCCAGGATTATCTCCACAGATCAGTAATCACCAGTAAGAGAGGATGGGAGGTGGTGTTGGTAGCTCCAAATGTTAGACTGTTGCAAGGTCAGCTGGTTTATGAGGCTCGGAGGATTGTGGAATTGGCAGCTGATCGAGCCAGATCGCTGCGACTCTGTTAGGGCATCTGCACGTGAAGTTCTGTCTGAGGTGGAGCAGGATCTGTGGGGCATGAGGTATTTCTGTGTGAATCACCAGTTTTCTTTATCTCAGAAATAAGGATAAGGATGATGGATGCTTACAGTGAGTTCAGCCAACTCATGAATTGTTGAGATCATGCTATCTGCTCTTGGAAGAACCTTCTAAATATTGTCTCATAATATCTACAATGTAAAAAATTCTGACATAAGCAAAAGTTATATTGAAGAATTTGTATTAATAGGAAATTATTCTTGTAACAGAGTGAACTAGAGTTTATGAAAAACCTCAGTTATATGCTGTTTCAGAGATATTGCTGTTTTAAAATGTATTTGTCAAATTATATATTGTCAATGTTCAGGTAGTATTACTAGGAGTGCCACCTCATGATACTCCCTAAAAGAAGGTACCCTCATCTCTTTTAGTTAAGACAATGGAATTTATCATACTTTAAGTTAATATTCCTATTTCACAATTTCTGATCAATCCATTTTTAGACATTTTCTAGTTATTTCTTTACAAGATATATATGAATTAGATTTGCTACATCACAATTTCATTTAAATCAGGGCTATACTCATGATTGGGACCTTGTAAATATTGTTGCAATTATTCACTACCACCTCTCCTTAAAAAAACTTTATCAATAAATTTCAGATACAGGAAAGAAGAGTAATATTAAGAACTACCATATACTTACCATTCAGCTTCAGTACTTTTCAGTCAGTCTTATTTTATGTACTAATACTTCTTTCTTCTGTGCATAACCCCCTGTCTTGACTCCCCAAAACAGCATTGTTTTGAAGCAAATGCAAATTGGTATGCATCTCTCAAAGATAAGGATTATGTTTTTAAAACAACCATTATGTCATTAGTGCATTTAAAACAGTTAAAAATAGTTTGTTAATGTCATCAGCACCCAGTGTTTAAATGTCCGTAATTGTCTCATCAAAAAAAATCATTTATTTGAATTAGAATCCAAGTAAGAACTATGCACTGCAATTGATTGACATATTGCTTGAGTCTCTTACTTTGCAGGTGTGCCTTCCATCTATTTTTCTTTCTGTGCAGTTTGTTAGATAAGGAAAAAACTTGTTTATTGTCCATTGTTTGAAATTTGCTGGTTGCATCTTTGTGTATCATTTAAGTGTTGCCTGAAAATAGTTAAGTCCATAGGCTTGATGAAATTCAGTTGGGATTTTTTCATATAAAATGAACTGATTATGATTACTTTTGCATCTGTTTTGAGATCCAGACATAGTGGTTCTCATTAACACCAATATGATAGCTCATTTGTTTTACCTTGCAATACAAGCACAATAGTCTCTGAAGTATTTCTTTTCTACACCTGTAACACACGTTTACTGTTTCAGGGATCAGTGGTGTTCAGTGATGTGTCCGTAGACTTCTCTCAGGAGGAGTGGGAGGGCCTGGACCCTGCTCACAGGGACTTGTACAGGGATGTGATGCTGGAGAACTACAGCAACCTGGTGTCCGTGGGTAAGGGCATCTGTGCCAATAATTTAGAGTTCTGTGGAATATCTGTTTCTTTCACTGTGAATTTCTCAGGTGAATTTCTGTTCCCTATTCTCAAATAAATGGTTTGAGCTGAAATGAAGACAGGGAAATGGGCAGCTCCAGTTGGCTGTGGTGGAAGCTTCGTCTTCTCTCTTTGGCTGTTCCTGTAGTGGTGTCTCTTTTGTGGTCATCAAGGACTGGGTCTTATTTCTGATCTGATTTACCCAACAGCATAACCATGTTCCATATTCTCTCCTTGTGAGCAGGACTTAACATTCCTAAGCCTCAAGTTATCTCCTTATTGGAACAAGGGAAAGAGCCCTGGATGGTTGGCAGAGAGCTGACTAGAGGACTGTGTTCAGGTGAGTGAGAAATAATTGGACAGAAGCAAGCAAAGCATTACAGATAACAACTCCACTGGTCAGTGGAGAAACAGCATCTTTGAGATGTTATCATGGAAGCTCCCAATAAAACCCAAGGCTTTTGGGAAAAGCTAAGTCCTTTACATGAGTTTATAAATGACCACTTTCATTCCTTCTCTCACTATTTTTTTCTTAATTTCAAATAGAAAGTGCCCTCTAAAGAAAAAAAACTCTTTTGCTCATATTTTGGATTCAATTCCTTTTTGGCTTTTCTCCCACTTAGACTCACTGAAATGTTTCTATTATCACCCCCAAAATAATATATTTGGTGTGTGAGTGTGTGCACAGGCACACATCTGTGTATCTGCATTGCCTCCCTCCTCTTTAAGTAGTGCTCTTCATTATAGGTACCTACCACTGATTTTTTTGGTCAGTTTGTCATGCTTTGTACGTTTATCCAACATTTTTTATTCCCTGATTTGTGCAAAGAGACCTAGTCAGCCAGGTGCCAGTTTAATGATTATGTCAGCTACCAAGAACTCTTTATTTAATTAGTCTTGTAGTTTTCAGGGTATAGGTCTTTCACTTGATTGGTTAGGTTTATTCCTAGGTATTTTCTTCTTTTTGATTCAGTTGTGAATGGAATTGTTTTCCTAATTTCTTTATCTATTAGTTCATTGTTAGTATATAGGAATGCAACAGATTTCTGTGTATTAATTTTGTATCCTGCAACTTTGCTGAACTCAGATATTAGATATAGTAGCTTTGGAGTGGATTCTTTAGGGTTTTTTATGTACGATATTATGTCATCTGCAAAAAGAGACAGTTTAACTTCTTCCTTGCCCATAGTGGATGCCTTTTATTTCTTTGTGTTGTCTGATTGCTGTGGCTACGACCTCTGGAACTATGCTGAATAAAAGTGGGGAGAGTGGGCACCCCTTTCTTGTTCCCAATCTTAAAGGAAAAGCTTTCACGTTCTCGCTGTTGAGTATAATGTTGGCTGTGGGTTTGTCATATGTAGCCTTTATTATGTTGAGGTACCTGCCCACTATACCCATTTTGTTGAGGGTTTTTATCATGAATGGATGTTCAATTTTGTCAAATGCTTTTTCAGCATCTATGGAGATGATCCAGTAGTTTTTGTCCTTTTTGTTGATGTGGTGGATGATGTTGAAGGATTTTCGAATGTTGTACCGTCATTGCATCCCTGGAATAAATTCTACTTGATGATAATGGATGATCTATTTGATGTATTTTTGAATCTGGTTTGCTAATATTTTGTTGAGTATTTTTGCATCTATGTTCATCAGGGATACTGGTGTGTAATTTTATTTCTTTGTGGTGTGTCTGCCTGGTTCTGGTATTAGAGTAATGCTGGCCTTGTAGAATGAGTTTGGGAGTATTCCCTCCTCTTCTACTTTTTGGAAAACTTTAAGGAGGATGGGTATTAGGTCTTCACTAAATGTTTGATGAAATTCAGCAGTGAAACCATCGTACAGGAGTTTTCTTCTTAGGTAGTTTTTCGATTATCAATTCAATTTCCTTGCTGATAATCGGTCAATTCAGATGTTCTGTTTCTTCCTGGGGTAGTTTTGGAAGGTTGTATTTTTCTGGAAAGTTGTCCATTTCTTCTAGGTTTCCAGTTTGTTAGTATAAGTCTGGCTGGGGGTTTATCTATTTTATTTTCTTGAATAACCAGCTCTTGCTTTCATTGATTCCTGTTTTATTCTTCTGGATTTTATTTATTTCTGCTCTAATCTTTACTATAATGTCCCTCCTTCTACTGTCTTTGGGTCTCATTTGTTCTTCTTTTTTTAGTTTCGTTGTGAGTTTAGACTATTCATATGGGATTGTTTTTCTTTCCGGAAGTAGGACTGTATAGCAATATACTTCCCTCTTAGCTTTGCCTTCTCTGCATCCCACAGATTTTGCAGTGTTGAATTATTGTTGTCATTTGTCTCCATATATTGCTTGATTTGTTTTTATTTGGTTATTTAGGAGCATGTTGTTCAGCCTCCATGTGTTTGTAGGCTTTTTCGTTTTCTTTGCGTAATTTATTTCTAGTTTCATAGCCTTGTGGTCTGAGAAGCTGGTGGGTACAATTTCTATCTTTTTGAATTTACCAAGACTCTTTTTGTGGCCTAGCATATGATCTATTCTTGAAAATGTTCCATGTGCACTTGAGAAGAATGTGTATCATGGTGCTTTTGGGTGGAGAGTTTTGTAGATATCTATTAGGTCCATCTGTCCTAATGTGTTGTTCAGTGCCTCTGTGTCCTTACTTATTTTCTGTCTAGTTGATCTGTCCTCTGGAGTGAGTGAAGTGTTCAGGTCTCCTAGAATGAATGCATTGCATTCTATTTCCCCTTTTACTTCTCTTAGTATTTGTTTCACATATGTAGATGCTCCTGTGTTGGCTGCATATATATTTATAACGGTTATATCCTCTTGCTGGATTAACCCCTTTATCATTATGTAATGTCCGTCTTTGTCTCTTGTCACTTTCTTTGTTTTAAAGTAGATTTTGTCTGATACAAGTACTGCAACACCTACTTTTTTCTTCC